AAAAAAAAAAAAAGAAAAACAACGAACCAATTGTTTTCCTCGTTCGTGGCTTTGGGACACGAAAACGCGTTCGCTCATTGTTTGTTCGGGAGCTGGTACGTAGAAAAGGTGGAGCGAGCGCGCGACAACTTGCCACGAAATCGCAATATCGAACGAGCTCCGTGGCTCGAGGGAGAATAATATTGAAATCACTGTGGTTTGCGCTTGCAAGCACGACGACTGCGACGCCCGACGACGACGCCGTTCGCCGTCGCAAGTAGGCCAGCTCGAAATAGAAACCGTCAACTGGGGCAGTCAATGGCCAACGTGCACGATCGTCACACCACGTTCACCGCACGTTTTTTCCTTTTTTTTTTTTTTTTTTTTTTTGCTCCTTCGTCTTCGCCTTCTTCTTCTTCTTCTTTCTCTTCTTCTTCTTCGTTTTTTCTCTTCTCTGTCTTCTTCCCCCGTGTTCTTCGGCTGCCGTGCTTCTTCTTTTCCCCGGGCAATCGCGCTCTCGCCAGTAGAATAGCCCAGTTCCGTGCCAGACGCGAGTAGACCGCCCGTTTCAGCGACCGATTTCTTGCCTCTCGACTCCGTCCGCGTCGCTCGATTCCGATAAATATCGGTCCGACCGAGCAGCACGCGAAAACCAGAACGATCGAACGGAGGGAACAGGTTCGTCGATTGTCGTCGATTTTCAGGGGACGATCCGTCGCGCCGCATCGGGTCCTACCGGATCGGGGATTGCGTCGGAAATGCAAACGCGTCCTACGACGTGTAATTCGATCGTTAGTGACGAAACGGCGCGTTACCTCGTTGCACGGTTAAATGACTAGCAGCTAACGCGTTGATACGCACGTTGTCACTGCTCGTTTTAATACGATGTCGCGTCTGTACCAGCGGCCATTTTAGAATACACGCGTTTCACGGGCTATCACTTTGGTACACGCGATTCACCTGGCACCATCTGGCTTTCTCGACCGCAATTTTCAGGAATGGCCGCACAAAACAGCTGTTTAGAGAGAAACTCTCGATGAATCGGCCGCTTTTACTTCTCTCGTTTCCACTGTCGTTTCAACTAGCATTGGAACTGCGATCGAGAATATACCGAGCGGAATACCGATCGAACGGTCGCTGTTTACCGGTTCTCTGCCGAGATATTGATCCGTTTAGTCGCATGCTTGGACAATATCATCCTCTCTCTCCCTCTTTGTGTCTCTCAGCCTTTACTTTGCTACGAAGCAGACGAGACCGTCGATCCTCGATAACGAAACAGTTCGCCATGCTGATCGATTACGAGATCCGACTGGCGTTCCAATAGCATGCGATCCTCGCGGCGAGCAATCTAGGATCGACGGGCGTCAGGATTTTGCATGGCACGTATCGCATGGGTCGCGGTGGCAAAAGATTTCACCAG